ATTTGTGGCCAACCTATCATAGCCTCTGGAAAAATTTTTTGGTCACAATGTGTAAAATTGATGCCCGGAGGGGTCCTGAAAGTTTCGTGGCGATATCTCCAGCCGTTAAGGAGATATCGACCGAAAAGGACAGGGGGGGGGGCGTTTCGCCCCCCCCTACGGGGCGCGGGTTAACCCTCGCCGGCACAGGGGGGGGAGGGGGGTTGATGCAAGCCCCCTAAGGTTTTTCGCGAATAACTCGCGTAAAAAGCGGCCGATCGCGACGAAACTTTTAGTACCCTCGCATTGATCAATTTTACACCTACCCTGAAACTTTCATGACCCTGACCCAAATGACCTTTGACCTGTGACCTCTTTTCCATAGGTGTAGCAACGTATCTCTTTGGTGAAGGATACCTTTCACCAAAGTTTTAGATTGGTGAAGGATCCTTCACCAATCTTGAGCAATGCAGGTGAGGGTCTTCACCAATGCTGAAACGACTGGGTTCGACGGTCGATCTAATGTTAAAAAGAAAAGAAAAGCAATGCCGAATGGGATGAACAAAAAGGCTAAAACGGTAACAGGTACCCAATTACCCCATCCTTTCAGTTATGAAGCGTTATGCCCACCTTTTTCACAATTCACGCCATTTAATAAATGATAGGTAATATATACCAGTAAAACGCCTTTTGGGCGAAGAACGAGCGAGCGAGATAGTGAGCCCTGCACGTGCGAAAGGGCGAGAGGGTACTTTCAACGGGCATGTGCAAAGCACCCTTCTAACCGGTCGCTAGCGGTGTGCCAAATTTGAACGCAGTCGGCCCAGCCGTTCCTGAGATCTGGAAGCGGCATTCTGCACGTGCGCACGTGCAAACGGGGTCCAAAATGACTTTTGCACGGCACCCTACTAACCGGTCCCCAACCGTGTACCAAATTTGAGCGCAATCGGCCCAGCCGTTCTCGAGATCTGGAAACGCCCCCTGCACGTGCGCACGTGCAGTTAGCACCCTAACCGCAACACATGGGAATGCGTTGCCTGGTGGGTGCTTACTTGTATGCCAAGTTTCAGCGAAATCGCCCCAGTAATTACCGAGTTACTGAAATGGGAACAAATTTGGCACCTCTTCTTTTTGTATTTTGCACGTGCAGTGGGGGTCACTCACATAGATCAAGAGTATCCGACCTTTGGTAGAACGGATGCAGCTACCCTATAGAAATTACCGCAAGACAATCGCTCAAGCCGCTGCTGAGATATGGGCCTCTCAAAATCATTACTTTTGCAAAACTGCTTGAACACCCTTGACTTTTCACGTGGTACGTGCCACGACGGTCACTGAGATGTATCAAAAGTAGTCAATTACGGGGTAGAAGGGATGGGGCTACCCAGCAAAAAAGACCGCAAGCCAATCGGTCCAGCGGTTGCTGAGACATAAGCCTCTCAAAAGCGTTACAGGCCGGGCCGGGCCGGGCCGCTCATACTGAGATTTTTCCCTTATATTGAAAAGACTTCGCTTCGCTCGCTGCGCTCGCTCGCTCGTAAATACTGAACGGTGTAAATAAATTTTCAAGACCGAGGTCCTTACTGAATTTTTGAACGAGGCCGAAGGCCGAGTTCAAAAATCAGTAAGGACTGAGGTCTTGACAATTTATCACCGGCCGAGTTTGGTATGTATTTTCCCATACCTGCTACATTGCATGATTAAATCGAGACATCCAGGCATTTAAACGCCACGTGCACTGTACCACACTTTTCAAAGTTTAATGCAATGCTTTAATATTACCAGCCGTGTGGTTCAAGGGGTGTGGTTAAACACGTTGAACCACACGGCTGCTGACGTCACTATCATATAGTTGTGAGCTTTTTGGCAGGTATGGGAAACACCTTCCAGCCCTAAGGCCGGGAATTCAATAAATGTCACCTCGCTTTTTTTAGCAAAATCACCTCGGGCCTAACGGCCCTCGGAGTTTTCGCTAAAAAACCTCGGTGACATTTATTGAATCATCCCGGCCCCGGGCAGGAATATATTTTACTGTATGCCAACGATCAAAACAATTGTCTAGACCGAAGCTCTTAGCGGTTTTTTGAACGAGGCCATCCCAAAATGTTGACTTGGTAATGCATTTTTGACCGTGGTCACTTTGCTTACACCAGTTATTACCACACCCCTCAGGCTAATGTATTTGAATAGGCCAGGCATACAGTAATATATAATACTGAACGAGGCCGGTGTAAATACATTTTCAAGACCGAGGTCCTTACTGAATTTTTGAACGAGGCCGAAGGCCGAGTTCAAAAATCTGTAAGGACTGAGGTCTTGAAAATTTATCACCGGCCGAGTTTTGTATGTATTTTACTGTATGCCAACGATAAAATAATTGTCTAGACCGAAGCTCTTAGCCGTTTTTGAACGAGGCCATCCAAAATGTTGACTTGGTAATTCGTTTTTGACCGTGGTCAATTTGCTTACACCAGTTATTACCACACCCCTCTGGCTAATGTATTTGAATAGGCCAGGCATACAGTAAAGCCGAAAACTGTATTGAAGTTGGTAAACGTGTAAATGTGTCTCAGTAAATGCCGTGAATATCGAAATAAATTGGCTTGTTTTTACTCGTGGGAAAGTTGTAAGACTTTGGTCACGAAAAAATGCAGTGGAGCATACCTTTAGGTTCCAAAGGTATGCTTGGATGGTGGATACCTTTGGTAGGTATCCAAAGGTATGCTTGGATACCTAAAAATTCAATTTTAGGCATGTACTGAAAAGTTGACGTTAATTAGATGATAATGGCGTGAGACATTTGCGAGAAAAAAAACAGGAGTTGGCGAAATCCCCCCCCCCCCCACTGCGGTAAGGTCCTGCACCTTCTCCGAAGGTTCAGGTGACATCCTTCACCAATATTTTTGGCGCTCCTACACCCATGCTCTTTTCCGAGACCATGTTTGGCCGGAATCCCGATTCGGCGTATGTCGGCTCGCATTAGCCGCGCGTTTGCAGTCTTTTCGTGGTTTCAAGCGATCAAACATGTGATATGATGTTGCTCCCATGCATTAGGGTGGGTGTCAAGGTCAACTGAAGGTCAGGTCAGGTCACTGACATTTGATGACCATTGACATTTGATGACCTCGGTTCACTTTTTCGAGTGTTACATGTTTCTAGGCTAGTTTTTGAAGCTGATTTCGATTTTAGCAACCATTTGAACATTTACGAAGTAGTTTTGGTGCCTTCGTAACCAGGGATGCGGAGCCGGAGCCGGAGTCGGAGCCGGAGCCGCCGGAGCCGGCATATTTTGCCCGGAGCCGGAGCCGGAGCCGGAGCCGTGAAACAATATAGACCGGAGCCGGAGCCGGAGCCGGAGCCGGAGCCGCCAAAAAAGGGGGCGACTCCGGCTCCTTTTTATTTTTTGAAGAGGAAAAAAAATTGACCTAGTTCGGTTTGACAGTACAAGGCAGTGAAACATATGGTATGTACTTACGTCATGGGCCATCAAGTGAATGAAAAAAAAACGAATATCCCCAGTATCCCACAGTACGCAATCAACTTCCTGTCTGCTCCTCCCCCCCCCCCCACGTCTATGTACTGCATCCCCAGAACATGAGGACCGGTCATCAGGTGACGGCCATTGTTTTCAAGCCAGTGCAGTGGACTGCGACTCCCAGCACCGTCTCTGCCGAGACGGGTGTCAGCTTACGATGGTTCAGTGAACTCCGATTCGCGGCGACTGCGTTTCCAATGCCATCGCTTCCTAGTCCTTTGTTCTGCCAGTTCTCTCCGAGGTGCGTTTGCGCGGGGACGCGGTCATGAGCCGGTCATGGCAAAGAGTAACGCGTATAACCAATCCAATTTTTCTTCCACCCGTATTTAATTGATTGCATAGGGGATGTACTGAGTCGGAGCCGGAGCCGCCGGAGCCGGAGCCGCCGGAGCCGGACCATTTTACTCGGAGCCGGAGCCGGAGCCGCCATAACATTTCACCCGGAGCCGGAGCCGGAGCCGGAGCCGATTTTTTTTTCTCCGGAGCCGGAGCCGGAGCCGTCTGAAATTTCCACGGCTCCGCATCCCTGTTCGTAACATGTTACGAAACTATCAGATGCGGTTGACACGTATCACGAATACGCGTCACGACCCCTACCGGTTGACCTGACCTGACTCGACCTGGTCTAAATGCTTAAAGACATCATCTCTGATCAAAACGAACACAATATTCGTGATCAGCATCCCGAAAACCCCCATAGCAGCCACACTTTACGACTTCCTAACAAGTACCGATTTTCCCGATTTTCGGGTCATTGACCTCACCTGGAAGGTCACCAGATGACCTAGGACCTTAAAATTGGATATCATCGGCTTCCTCTCGTGACGGGCAACACGCTCCTTTTTTCCGCGAAGCTCTAGCTCAATCAGGGGCCAAACGCGAGGGGGGGGGGGTCGTACCAACCCCTCTTTGTGCCTCGAAGGACGCAAAATGGCCTGTGCCGGCGAGGGGGGCACTGCCGACTTTTGGTCCCATTTTTCCATGCAACGCCCATAGGACTCATGCTAAAATGCCAAAATCTAGGGGGGGACACGGTGCCCCCCCCTCCCCGTTCCGCCGCCTATGTTCTAAAACGCTCACTTTGAGATCACTACACATTTGATGGTTTTTGCCTTCGACCTTGACCTTGAAAATCGACCCGCGGTAACAATTTTTAGGTAGGTACTTTAGAATCGCCTCGTAGAGACCTTTCGTTTTGTACCTACCGCTTTTGTTTCCGTAGCTCCCTTATTTACGGAGTTATACAGGGGGTTGCGTAAAATGCCCCCCCCCCTCGGGCTGCGGTGGTTGGAACTACCCGGAACTGCTCCCGGGCCCAGCCGGGTTTAAGATAACCTTCACTTAGGTCATACTGGCTGGGTAGGATATGTAATATTTAGAAAGGCTCCAGCGATTCAGCTCTCGTTTGCTGTTCGTCACCAAGGGCTCCTGGACTCTGGAGTATCGAGCAGATATCCGCAAGAGTCGTATTACATACAGAACATGATTTAAAGTCAACTCCGTGTAATTGCAAGTGCCAACTGCCGGCCAACCGTCACATCCCGCCCGCATCACACAGACATCACATGTTTCCGAGCTCGCCTCTGTTCCGTCGCCACACTGCCGTGTGACAAGTGACTAAGTCACGGCTCGGTACAGTCCGCACGGCACTCCAGAGCGGCTAACCCTTCCCACTGGACGGCTCAGCACTCTCACAGTAACGACTAGAGCGGCCACGCTAACCGTGCATCCCCACCTCCCTGACCCGTGACCGGCACACACGGCTAACTAACGCTAACATCACTCAAACATTGCTCCTTCCCCGCCAGGCCAGAGACAGGGGCCAGTGCTAGGGTCTCAGTCGCGACTGATCACTGATTTCAGTAATGGAGAGACTGCTAAGCGCCGGCAGAGGAGCACAATCAGGAAAACGGGAAGCTGACTCAGCTACCAGGCTCGGTGACTGCTGTGCGTGGCATTGTCAATTTCTTTCCCTATGGTGTAAATAGCTCCGATAGTAAGCTCATTGCTCAGGCACAGACAGCAGCCAAAGTTCAGCCGAAGCTCGTATAGTCAACAGTCGAGCTGAGGCGGTCGGCGGCGCTTTTGGGGAAGGAAGCCGCCAGGAAGACGCGGTTTCGAAACAGCTCACGCTGTGACACGCACACACACACGCAGGCTTATCACACAGCCGGTAGCGTAACATTGAACTCGGCGAATAGCGACACAACTGAAGTTCCTCAGCCGCGCGGCGGACAGCGCCGCATTGCACACACCTCGCGGCCTAGTGCGTCCCGTGGCTCTGACCGCCCCCTGGTGACTGGTCTGGGGAGCAGCGGTCAGACTCTCGTCACAGCCGCCTCGGTCGACGGCCCGTCGGCCTCGACAGTGTCGACGCCGTTCTGAGGACCCCACCGCCTCTCTGACACGACACCACCGGCCGGGAGTCGGTGTCAGAGTCCGTGACTCTTACCCTGTCGCCCTTACGTCTCCGCCTAACCAAACCTCCCTCAGTGCCAGGTCAGTCTGAGTTTTCTATCACACTACCAGCGCGGCCGCGGCGCCCACCCAGCCCCAGAGCAGGCGCGCTGCTCGCCACTGCACCACCACAGAGGCCAGGAAGAACGCCTGACGCAGCGCCCACTCGAGTAGGTCCTGGCGGAGTTTACGCGGCGGAGGGGAAGGCTGGTCGTCCGGCCGCCGGCCCCCCGGCAGCTCCGGCATCCTGCCTGTCCGGTAGTGCTCCGAAAGAGCGGCGTCCTTTTCGATGAACAGCTTGTAGAGCCAGCTGGTGAGACCCTCCGTGTCTGTCGGCACCTGGGGTGCAGGAGAGGGGAGGGTGAGATGCTGTCAGTCGGGAGGAAGATGTGGGATATGTCCACTGGGGTGTGGGATATGGCCGCACCGATTTGTCCACTGAAGTCACGGACAGGGAATCGAAACCTAACTAAAAAGCAGCAGCCTATCACAGTATCAAATGACATTACGGAATCAATGCCGAGTGCATTTACTTGTGTGATCATTTATGCAGCTGCAAGCTGGCTACAGTTCCACTCAAGTATAGCTACAAGAAAGGTAGATACTTTGTTGTTAGATTCTTCCGTTTCAGCTCACACGTCCCCCTTCTCGCCCACCCCATAAAACGCACCTGGTCAATATCATAGACGCGGTAGTACATGAGCACGTTGCAGGGCGGTCGGTTACCGGCCATCACAGCCAGTAGGTCCAGCGGCCGGTCGGCCTCGGGGTAGGCGATGGTAACGTCTACCACCCAGCGGAGGGAAGGCCGCGCGCTGCCCGCTCCGTTTTGGTCACCTGAGGGGCAGAGGTAGGGCGGAGAGAGGACGTCATAGGGGGAGGCACGGGAGCGTCGTAAGTTGAGAAATACATTGAACATAAATGAACAGGTGAAGTGACAGAGTGGGAATGAGAAAGGAAGCGATTTTAACTGTAGCAATTCAGCTTTGTAACAGCATCATCTCTATCAGCTTATTCCTTATCACAACAACGATTCGAAATCCAAAGTGATAATCTTACAATAAAGCCAGAGCGATACCAACGCAATCAAATTGTCCGTTGTCGAGTCAATAAGCACGCCCCCGAAATCCGAGAGCCGTATTCGTAATCCCTCTCACGTACCATGCCCGTTGCAGTGGTTCTCCTTGCCCCTTGCCGTCGGTCCGAGCTTTTCGAGCACAGCCTGAGCGGCCCCCAGCCGAGGTAGAGTCACATGCTGGATGTGAGGCAGACCCTGCTTCTCCGCGAACCTGACAACACACAGTGCCACCTGGCGGTTACAAGATGAAGCGCTGATACGCTAACTCACTGGCAGGTGGCAGCACGGCTCCAAAACCACAGTGAACGAGAACTGCAAGTACAGGTGGTGACTAGAGCCAAAGCACACCGATGAGTCTTAAAGCTAAAACTTCATATAGGTTGAATGTTTACATACATTCACGTTCACTAACACAAAACGCTTGCAAAATTTCCGAGAACTTGGCGGCTAGGACTTTTATTCGATGGGCATATCGAATGATGAATCATGATTTTGAGTGCAGTAAGTAAAGTTTATTTACTGCACTAGAAATGTGCTTAGTAAGCTACTGTCTGTATCTTGACATAAAAAGTTTAACCAGTCACTCATTAGGTACTCGAAAACACAGCCAAATATAAGTTGCAAAGTGATCGCAATATCCCACCTTTGGCTGGCTGCCCTCCGTTTCCACAGGAATCCGCCCTCTGGAAACAGGATGATCCATTTCCTGTCCAGCGAGAGGTAGTTCCTCGGCATTTGCTCCCGCAGCTCTTGTACTGACTTGTCACGCTTTTCCTTGCCCTGTGGAATAATGTTGCATCGTCAGTTTAATGAAAAGTGTTGCTCGGCGGGTAGCTTTGATCTCAGGCACATCAAAGGCTGCACTGCACTTTTATGTGACAAAAATTGCGTTCTGCTACTGTTTCAAAATGCATAAACCATGATCAAGTAGGGTCCTCTGAAAACTAATCGATGTAGTACAACACTGAACACTGTCGCACTTGTGAATTTCTTAGAAGCAGCTCAAGACCCTTATCGATCAGACAGTAAGCAAATCACTAAAAACTCGTTTTCGTCAATGATTCTATTGCCTGGAGCGTGGCATCAGTCCAGCTCCCTCTCCCATCCGTCACTCCAGTCCCTAATCCCTTTCCCACGCTCTATTCCTACTCCCCACTTCCCACTGGCTCCTCGTACCCCTACCCATCACCCCACTCCAACCCTTCAACTCACCGACTCTACAAAGAAGTCTCCTCGGACCTGGGACACCATACCGAAATGGGTCCACTTGAACATGGCGTCCATGATCCAGAGCACATTGTCGGCGGCCCTCCGGCGCGCGGACAGCATGGTCATCAGCAGTGGGACATCGCCGGTTGACTGGTGGTTGGCCAGGAGGAGGCACCGCTCCGACTCCAGGTCAGAGATTGAGTCACCGAGCTCCACCACTGCCGAAGGGAGAGTCAGAGTCAGATAGTCACCCAGCTCAACCACTGTCAGAGGAGGAGTCAGAGTCAGACACCGCTCCGACTCCAGGCCAGAGATTGAGTCACCGAGCTCCACCACTGCCGGAGGAGGGAGTTAGAGTCAGACACCGCTCCGACTCCAGGTCGGAGATTGAGTCACCCAGCTCCACCACTGTCAGAGTACGAGTCAGTTAGTCACCCAGCTAAACCACTATACTATCAGAAGGAATCAAGAGTCAAACAGTGTTCCGATTCTAGGTTGGAAATCGAGTCACCCAGCAACAGAGTTGAGATACCTCGAAGCTGATATCAGACGTCAAAACTGAGCCATTCGTCTAACACAAAACAGCTAACCAGCTTATCAACTTGCCAGCAAAAGTGCACCCCTAGCTCTAACAACATCTCTATGCGAGTATTCGACTGACGTGGCTGACCGTCCAGGTAGCCACATCCCCGCATTGTGGAACCCGCCCCACCCCGCTACATTCCTCTCATCACTCCATCCCTACAACAGTGGCAGACTCAGCCGTCACTGACACACACAGGAGGCGCTATTTGTGGTCGGACAGTGGGCTAAGTCGGCACATCCGGCGCCACGCCGCGCCCCCAGCACGGCCCGGTCTCTGGTTATATGCAGGGCCAACAGTCCGCTGACAGGTCTCTGTGGGAATCGCTCTGGGAGGACAGGAGATTCTCACGGGGTTACAGATCCGACATGAGGTGTGAATGGCGGCGAGATGCACGAACGATGGGAAGACAGCACGAGATAGCGATTTTAGCCAAGATCGCAACACTGGCTGTTGGTTTACTGAGCAGTGACCGAGCCAAAAGGTACATACAATTAGAAATAGCCCACAACACCATCCCGGCCCCTCTCAGGCCACTACACAATACACATGACAAAACGCTCAAACATCAAACATCAAACAAGGGTCTCCTCTTCGTTCCTTTCAGCCCCACATTCCTCTCCCCTCTACAGTGTACCCCTCTCACTACCGAACCCCTCCCTTTCGCCGTACCCCTCTCCCGTCCTATCCCCATCGCGCCGTACTCACAGTCGTACTCCTTCCGTCCCCTCCCCGTACTCACGATCCCCTCCCTCCCATTTTGTCCCCTCCCACCATACTCACGATCAAACCCAGCCGTATAGCTGAGCACTCCGGCGAACAGCACCAGACTGTGGAACAGGAATCCCTCCATGGCCCAGTAGAACGCCGGCGCCAGCCAGTTGAGAGGCGACAGCATGGCCATCCACACCAGGTACACCGGGATGGCGTACAGGTTGTTCACCAGGAACAGCAGCACGCGCGTCACGCCCCACGCGCCACGCGCGTACCTGCGGGGGAGAGGGTAAGGAGGGTGAGATAATGCACTGAGTGCGTTATTGGGAGTGTGAGAGGTTGCGTACGACATCTAAGATCGGCACTGGTTCATAAAGATCGCGTTGCAGCCAATGCAAAAACAATGAATCAAGGATACGCTACCCCATGCAGATGTGGCTTTGAGCCCAAATTTCGTCAACAGTATTGGTAAGGACTTTTGGGTAGACATGTGGTATAACATATAGAGCAACGAAAACAAAATCTCTTCAGCATTTCAGCATTGATGTAGTGCAATAAAAAGACAGTGAAGCTTTTAGCTAATGAGAATGATCTATTATTTACTTTGACAGGCTATATAAAATGATAAAATACACCGTCACATTCAAATTTTAGGCGTGCTTCCTACGATATCATTGACATTGCACAGAAAAAAATGCAAATAATGATGCACGTTTAATCTTCAAATGATGACATAATACATGTCCCTTACGTAAAACTCGCAAAAGCGAGGCGACCTGATTCATTGCATAATACGCGGTGACCGTTACGTAACGCAAGGTCAACCCTGTGCAACACGAGGTCACACAAAAATAAGATCATCCCGCACAGAGAACGCTGATTGCGTGAATCGATCTTTCATCCTCCGTGTCATTTTCGTGATCAACTGCCGACAAGAAACGGGTCCCGTAAAGCACCATTAGATGGATTCATCACCTTATTAGTAACATGATGAGCGCCAATCGTGGCCCGGGACCTGTCATGCTGCAGCTACAGGTCTGACCTAAACTGACTGAGTCGCTGCTGCGGACGATGGGTCAGCCGTAACTGGCTACCTCTCTAGCCAGCCTGGATGCTCAGATCGCCCGCACACTTGGACTGTCGAACTGGGACTACGCTCACGACGGCGACCGAGAAGAGAAGGATGCTAATCTCACAAGTCCTGTGACCTCTGAGTGTTCTGACAATCCCCAGCCTGCCTATACCACCCACGTTCACCGAGTGTACCTAATAAGAAGTTGAGTACCTGCTTGCGTACGTTCGCCGTACAATGGCACTTGGCAGACGCAAATACCAGACAAAAATAGACGTTCAGTGTGCGCTTCTGGTCAAGGACTGTTTTTATGCGACCACATTTTACAAGGAGAGGGAGAGAGCAGGCGTTACGCAGTAGATGGTGAAAACTTATGACCCAGGTTTAAATTAGGCCATGCTGCCTCAATCTTCAGTTGCAATGTCTTTCATTGAAAACAAATTTTTAAGGCATCGTAAAATAGCCAATGCATGCATGGTAAACATTTCCTACCCAAAAATAACAACAATGCATAGCTGAAACAGCATAGTCCGTCACAAAATGTGTCGGTGGTCACTTGGAGGCTTTCCGTTCATGCACCATGGAAGTACGAACACCTGCCAGTCGCCTTTCACTCACACCGATGCTATTCGCTGAATTATTGATTACATCCATGGGTTGAATCAGCTTTACATAACTTACGGAGCATAGCCTCCTGGCTCTTCTCTGTGTTTTGTTATCTATAAAAGCGCACAGAAACAGAGGCCAGAACAATGAGCGCAATTTGAATGACGCTGCCATCATGACAGAGGCCAGCAGTCGGCAGTGAATCTCTGAAGCTCCAGGGACGGCATGTCGGACAACAAATCACTTGAGTTGTTGTCGAGCACTGGTGGCGAACGATAAGCCGGGCCGTGATCGTTTCAAGACCATCACTCGTCTTTTCCGATGTAATAAAGGGTGACTATAGATTGTAACCCACTGATCAAGAAACCGGACCAGCTTGGCCTCGGCACACAGGCCGTTACTAAACCAAATATTTCATTATATCATCATTCGCTCAAGTATCAAAGAGATCCAGAGAGCGTTACGTGGCATATAGCATGTTAGCTGCATGCCAACAGAACGTCACGTCACGTCTGTGAATAACATGGACTCAGGAGCCAGTGGGGAACGTTGGCAGAGGATCCGGACGGAGAACCACAGCACAGGACAACATCTGCTACACAACGCTCCCGGGAAGGACCCTCGGTGAAAGCCGCCCAATCAGATAAGTCGGAACTAAGCCGGTGGACCCCAATACTTTTATCTTGCATAGATAATGTGTATAATATCTCTATGTACATTTCATGGCCATATATGAGATCTTATAAACACCATTTATACGAATATACAATTTCTACGGATCCCATGCAGTTGGGCCGACACCCGTCCGGTTCAGTGGGAGTCTGATGTTCCAACAACACCGATTCTGACCCGCTTCCGCCCAGTTTTTGGGCTGAGGTTATAATAACCGGGCTTTCCGGTCCTTCGCCGGTAATTCCGGGCTTGCAATCGCAACTGCAGGCACTCTCCAAAAGTCGGGAGGTGAAAGTGCGATGACCGATGAGACTAGCAGCAGGCTTCCTTGGAACGGGGTGGATGCAGGCGAAAAGTTTTCAGTCAGGCACGATGATGATGAAATATTCCAGGCGCCCGGCGCGGTGGTGTCTTATCTAACGGTTCCAGTTCGCACGGAGGATAGGTTATCGACCGCTGCTGCAGGCAGCATCATAAGGACAGTGTTCACGCTTCGGCTGTGCAGTACACAATGCCGTCACTGATATAATATAATAGACGTTCGGTAACTTTTTTCTTTTCACACTGTCCTATTCCACTGTGTATTGACCTTTTACTAATAAGCTGCACTGTGCACACAACATCGATGGCAATGAGAAAATGCAACACCATGAAATAGTGAAATACCAAAAAAGGCAGCGTTATGCACCCATAGTCGCTAGCAGAGTTCGCGCTTGCAGCACGCCTCGGTGGATGCCAATACCACAATACTCAATAGCGCAGTCCATCTGAACACTGCAGCCCTATCCTGAGAGCATCACCACCAGCCGTAATAGACTCGTCAAAATGCAGTGCAGCCGCCTCAAAGAGCAGTTCCATTCACGCTATACGGCGGTAACGGCGCCATTCAGCGCCGACAAAGGGTCAGCGGTTCCACCTGTTACACGTCCGGCGGCACTGGAAGGTGGGGTGGGAGCCCGGCCGCGGACACCTGTAATTGGAAGGGCGATCGATGGCACCTGGTTACCAGGTGACTGGTGTGAGGGTGTGTAGAGGTGGGGAGAGGTGGGGAGAGGGGGAGTAACAGACAGGTCAACAGCGTGTCAGGTCAGGAGTGTCACTCAGGGTTACAGGGATGACGTGATCGATTAAATTCATGTATCTCTTCGGTCAGAGATCATACAATGATCATGTATCAACTAAACAATCATTCCCATAAGTGAGGCATCGTGCAATAGTCCGGCATGACACTAGCATACTAAGATCCGGGGTCATACGACATACCATAATCACTGATCAGGGATCATATGCTTAGATATTAGTCCATCACGTCCCGATTTCATGTAGCCCCAAACCACACGCTTCCTTTTGGACCAAACCATTTTGTGCTATTCCTGGACAGAGGCATATTTCCACTTTTTTAATTGAATAATCCACTAGAGACCCAATGACGAAACCCATGGATGTATGGTAACAGGTAACTTTCGTAATTGAATAGTCAATCAGACAAGACGACGAAAAGCAATCACTTAGTCCGTTGTTGAAGCTCTCTAAATCCTAGTCATGTCACAATTTATCATAGTCTCGTGAACAAAGCCATTCAACACCGTTGGGCGTTCCCAAGCTAAGTTCCATTTAATAAATTGGACACACACGGTTCATCGCTTTATACCGGTGCAAGCACTGGAAAGCACATTAGGTGCGGCACATGGCACACGACAAAATCACCATGGTAAAACATTGGCGCGTTGTGCGCCTTACCGTCAATGACCGAAGCCTATGAAGGTAAGACTTTCAAATCACCCAATTGTCCTAAAAAAAAACCTACTGGGGCAGGCGCAGAGGGTTCCGGACAAAAAGTCAAATGATAAAAGGTAAAAGGATGATTAGTCAACAGACATTACGTCAAAAACACGAAGTCAAAAATCTTAAAAGTCAACAGGTAAAAGGTCAACAAAGAGGAAAGTCAAAAGTCAAAAAGTCAAAAAGGATAAAACGTCAAAAGATAAAAAGTGAAATTGCCAAAAAGTCAATGAACAAAAAGCCAACTAGCATAGAAGTCAAAAGACAAAAAGTCAAATGGACATAAGGTCAAAAGACAAAAAGTAAAAACGGCAAAAAGTCAAATTGCCAAAAAGTAAAAAGAACAAAAGTCGAAAGACAAAAAGTGAACAGGACATAAAGTCAAAATCCAAAAAAAACAAAAGGACAGAAAGTCAAAAGGACAAAAAGTCAAAAAACAACAAGTCAACCGGGCATGAAGTCAAAATAAAAAGTCAAAAGTTCAAAAAGTCAAAAAGACATACCTATAGTCAAAGTCCAAAAAGTCAAAAGGACAATAAATCAAAGGGACAAAAAGTCAAAAGGACAAAAAGTGAAGAGGACAAAGGTCAAAAGACGAAAAGTCAACAGAACATAAAGTCAAATTACGAAAAAATCCAAAGGACAAAAAGCCAAAATCCAAAAACTCAAAAGGACAAGTCAAAGAGACAAAAATCCAGTTTACATAGGGTTTGTTGCAAGCTTATATCTCCGTCCGTGATGTTGCAAAAGATGCCAAAAAAATTGCAAAAGATTGCAAAAGAATGGTGCTTAACAATTTACAAAATGATCCCCTCTAAATATATGAAGACCACTGCATCGAAATTATCGCCAAATTAACGAGTTAGAGCCTCGTCAAATATGCTATGTAAACCGGGGGAAAGTCAATGACACCTGGATCATCAGTCATTACATATATGAGATAACATTTACAAACAGCTGTACACAATTAAGCAGGATGCTGCACAATATAACCTGCATCATTGGACATTGAAGCGAGACTGCCTCCATTGCACGACTGATGGGGATTCCCATGGCCCGCAACCGCGACTCAGCTGGTCACACGGGCATGCTTGGCTGAAATCTGACACACATCCGTTGACACGTGCTAGGTGGGAGCTCGCT